TGATCAATGAGTGTCCCCAGGATTTGGGGTATCATCCCAGCGGTGCATTGGGTCAGTGCTTTGTGGCGAATCGCCGCGCAAGCGGTCAGTTTGACTAAGCGAGGCTTTTTTGGAGCCTTTTTTCCTGCAAAACACGTTACAGTTTTCCTTCTGGGAATATTTGTCCAACATGAGGATTGAACCAAAACATCATGTATCATGGGATACTCAGCCAGGAATCCCTGGATGTTTGGGATTGGGATTGAAATCCTCAATACTAGAGACAAGTAGCCAAATGATTTTCCAATTTTAAACGTGGGGTTTCCGTTGCCGTATTACAGGGGAGGCCGAAACCCAAGTTGATGTCAATGCCTGGGCAAGGTGTCTTTGTTTTCCAACTGAGCAGTGTTCAAAAAACCGGTTGCTTGATGATTCTATGGGATTATACGGCCCAATATCTTGGGGCTTCTCATAATCCACTGGAAATCCTACAACCAGTATCAAGGGGACGAGGCGAAGCTAACACGACCCCCCGTCCGGCGTACAAAAATAAAATGGGGGGGCAGGAGCCCCTTTTAAAATAAAAAAATAAAAAATAAAATGAAAATAAAATGGGTCAGACCCCAGCATTTTATTTTGTGGGTGCATTTTATTTTTTGAGGTGCCTAACCCATCAAGTTAACTGACAGAGATAGCATGATAGCAAAGATGCACAGCTGGGAACGGTCTGATCATTTTGTGAAACATTCCAGAGATTTGGAATTACTTGGACATTAACTTCGAAAATGGGTTGGCCCCCCTCATTTTCTATTGCCTTCCTTGGTCAACAAAAGACACACGGGCAGCTTACAGCAGCCAATGAGATTTCTTAAGTTTATTCACGTCGCTTCGCGACGGCAACCGCCCGCACCGCATCGTTGGGCAGCCGCTCGTAACTGCCAATGATGTCGGCCATTGAGACCAAAATCATCCGAAAGTACCGATTGTCGGAAAAAAAAAAACGCGAAGAATTTGATAGCCATGTATAGCGGACCAACACAGTTCAAAAAATAACGAAAAACATGAAAAAACGGCGAAATTGCTGTTATTTACAGTGTTTTTGCGCGGTGAGAAGCAGAAACCACTGCAAATACCATGGTTTTCGAGGGTCAGGTGGCCAAAAACACTGTAATTTACAGTGTTTTTTAACCAACGTCAAAAAACACTGGTATTTACGATGTTTTCATTCACACCGTAACATAAAACAGCGTAATTTACGAGGTTTTTGGAAGTTTTGAAGCTAGCCGTCAAGCATGCAGAAAACAGAAAAACACTGTAAAAACCAGTGTTTCTGCTATCACAAAACGACGAAAATCAGTCCGAAAACGGGTCCAAAAACTCAAAAATCCGCCTGCGGGCCAGGCCACCTGCGGAACCGCAAAAAAAGATGTTGCAAACCAAAAAATTGAGGTCAAAAAGTTGAAAAACACGGGTTTTTTTCACTTTTCGCTTGCCGATTTTGGACGGGCGCGTTCACGAACAGGTGTCTTCCGTACTGTTTTTTACAGTGTTTTTTGAAGGCGAGCGTCACGACCTATCAAAAACAGGAGGTTTTGGACGAAAAATGCCCCCCCCCCCCAGGTAAACCTGTAACCTTTTTACGAGTGCCATCCGGAAGATCACGCCCCAGCACCTTCGGTGCGGGCGGATTTATAGTTATTTGTATCTTTTCTGGAAACCGTCCAGATGTCAGAAGTGGAACCAATTATATATATATATTATATTGATCGAAATCCGCGCAATTTTTCCTTCCTGTTGGCACGTGAAAAGGCTAAACAAGACTAAACAAAACTAAAAAAAATCAACCAATCAAATAAGGAAACAATGTAAAGGACTAAACATGCTGGGATACGTTGGAGGTTGGGTCTTGCAATTTTGGGGGTTTTCGAGTTTTCCTTCAAAGATGGTTAAAACCAATCAAAAAAGGAAACAAGACAAAACAAGATCAACCCAAAAGAAAATGCCGGAGCCTGAGGTCCAACAGTTGCATAACGTAGGTCCAACAGTGGCCAGGTGGAGGGTGCCTGACGTCATTTTCTTTTTGTACCTGTCCATTGTATTTTGCTTGGGTTTTCCTATCTTACCTTATGCCCTCTCATTTTATTGGCATTTTGTCCTTAGGCCCCTGCATTTTATTTTATTTTTTTAGGGGTTCCACCCCCCCCTGGCAACAGACGAGGGTTAACACGGTCGCGACTCATTTACAAGGCTCCCACCCACATGGACCACTACTGTGGATCCAGAGGCCAGGGCCAGGGGGCCATGAGAGAAGCACCAGGGGATCCAGGGGGGACCTTCACCGCCACCGGGTTTCTGGGGGTGTCTTTGTTGAAGCGACCATGGTTGGCACCCGTTCATACAAACAGGATACCCTCCAGTCGATCAAGATATGGAACACACATGATTTGTCGATCATCTTCTGAACGGGAAAACCATGGGTTTCCATATCGCTAATTTGTCAGAGGGTAACGCGGGAGACCATCAGTTGGGGGACTAGCATCACCAAAGTTTTTCCATCGGCACTTCCGAACTATCGAACTGCACATCAAGAAACTGGTATTTCTTTATCATTCCCAGCTGAAGGAAAAAACCGAGGCTGCTTCCAAAGAAGAAAACGACAAGTGCCACGTTCAACCTGGTTGATTTGGTGCCAGTGACCCAGCTGCAACAACTACGATCAATACTATTTGGCACACCATGATAACCGACTTATAACATATCAATACAGACCATTGTATCATAAGGCATTCTAAAACTTATCATTTTTCCGATTGTAAGATATCACGACCATTAAATTATACCAACATGATATTCGTAAGTATGTATATCCTAGTTATGATCACATTATGACCATATTACAAGCCACAAAAATGGGTCCCATCTGCGCCAGGAAGATCCTGTCCCGGAGACGATGGAGCTCAGCGGAAGTGGCGAGATGATGCAGGATGGCCATGGCATGTTTCATGAAATAAACCATCCAGCTATTGGGGTACCCCCATTTATGGAAACCCTCATATAATCCCATTTATATATCATATATATGTATATACAAGTGGGGATATTCCATAAGTGGAGGTAAAACCCATTGTAGAAGTGGGGATATTCCATAACTGGGGGTAAAACCCATTTACTAAGGGGGATGCACCCGCAAGAGCAAACTCCTAATCTTGCTTTCTATGTTTTTTTTGATGATTTTTGAGCATTCATATTGAAGGAGTTTTTGTTTTTTTTAAAGAGACACATGGGAATATCAGTGATGATTCAGTGATAAGCTGGTTGGTGGTTTGGAACATGTTTTATTTTTCCATATATTGGGAATTTCATCATCCCAACTGACGAACTCATATTTTTCAGAGGGGTAGGTATACCACCAACCTGTAAGTGATGATGGTTGATTGATGAGTTCCTCAGTTATTTATACCCTTTCTGGGGATCACAATCCGAAAGCCAGGATCTCATTTTGTCGGGTGGTTGAAAACGATGGGGGCCGTCCGTCATGGGGATAGCCCTTAAGGCCGTTGATTGCACATTGATTTGGGATGATTGAGCCATGAAACACCTGGTGATATTCTATAGTTGGTCATTTCTTATGATCACTTTGTACCCTCTGGTAAACATACAAAAAGCTATTGAAAATGGCCATTTATAGTGAGTTTTCCCATGAAAAATGGTGATTTTCCATAGTTATGTAAACGTTTACCAGAGGGTATATGGGAATCTTTGACATCATTCTGTAGCTCGCATTGATGTTCATCCCCCCAGTCAATATGGGAATGGCAGTGCCCTCAGTTATGATCATGGAAATCCATAGCTGCTTCCTGTTGGGAGTTTGATCTACTTTCATTATAAATTGTGTAGCTAAGTCAGTTTACTGAGTTTACTGGGAGTGTACTTGGCGTTGCATCCCAGTAGGTAGGTAATAACATGTAACAATATTCTACTCCAGTTACGTATGTTAGATCTATGTCAAGTATGTCTAAGTATGTGTTCATTCTCGACATTTTCCTACATTCACCGGCAGATGAATTCACGTTCGCCACTGATCATCAGGAAGCCGAAGACGAAGCGCAAGCAGATGAAGAGGCCGGAGTTCACGGGAGCGAAACTGAGGATTTATTGATGTTTATTGATGTTTATTGATGTTTATTGTTGATATTGGGGTTCTACTAACGATTCAAACTGGAAAAACATTACGATCCATTCTGGGAATAACTATGAATCTATGAACAAACCAATAGAACCACTTCGTGCTTGCAGGTTTTTTGACGTTCAATCGAGGAAATGGATGATTTGGGTTTGTAAAATGGTGTATATACTCCTAAAATCCATGGTCTATCACATGTTTTTCCCTAATAAAAACCAATCAAACTGGCCGTGAAAAACCAATCATAGCGAACTGTTGGTTTACCAGAGGGTAATATGATGTAATATTCTTACCATCTAAGAAAACTAGAAACAATGCAGGTGGTCTACTCGCATGATTTGCCATGACCCTCTCATGTCGAGTAGGGGAAACCAGCCCAAATGGATCCAAACATTTTTTCTTTCTGATTCGGGAATCACAAATTTTGCTGAGAATCTATATGAAAACTGGCAGTTCTTCCCCAAAGTTCCCTGACTTTTCGTAACGACATACTTCACCCTTCGTCTTCAAACCTTGCTAGTTGATTCAAAACATTCGCGGACAGGCTTGATATACACAGATATTGTGTTGCGATTTCGTATGGCCCAACAGGATTCCAGGATCTAAACATTTTTGACAGGCGATGTGCTTCCTTTTCTCACAATTTTGACAGGCATATGGGGATGGGTCAAAACCCTATCCCCCTGGAGAACATCAAAATAGCTGGTAAATGGATGTTCATCCCCCTAAAAATGGTATGTATAGGTATTGATCCATAGCCATATATCTGCTGCATGTTAGGTGGTCCTTGAAAAAACGCTTAAATGATGTCTCTTTGAACCCCATGTGATTTGCGCAGTCCACACGAGAAGATCTCTTATCAAAGCTCAAGGCCCAGCTTTGAGCACTGGGTGGGCGTAAGTCGAGAAAAAAATGGGACAGTTGAAGGTTTTTTGAGCGGTAAAGCATCTGTTTTATGGGGATATGCACAGGATATGATGGGAGGCTGACCATTTCCGAAAATGGTGGTTTGACACGGTCTAACCATCCTGAAATGAATACATAGCTGATAGTCAATGTAATGTTAAATACCACCAATATGGCTATGGATCAATACCTATAGATAGATTTTGAGTGGGTTATTCACATCCATAAATCCCAGCTATTTTGATGTGAACAAAAAAGGGGTACAAGGTTTTGACACACTGCCATATAAGACCCCTTAAAATGAATAGATCCAACAATTCAACATAGCCATGACAAATAAGTGATGAAACCTGCCATTTCCACCATGTTTCATCGCAACGTGGAAAAACGGTGACCATTTTCAGCAGCTGTACAATTCCATGGAAGTTCCATCTACCCTCTGGTAAACATACAAAAAGCTATTGAAAATGGCAATTTATAGTGGATTTTCCCGTTAAAAATGGTGATTTTCCATAGCTATGTTAAATTACCAGAGGGTAAATCCCAGTCTTGGTGAGATCCTTACCCTCTGGTAAACTAACAGTTTGCTATTGAAAATGACCATAGAAATAGTATGAAATAGTTGAGTTTTCCCATTAATAGCATGGTGGATCTTTTCATAGTTTTTTGTATGTTTACCAGAGGGTATATCTTTTGCAGCTTTGGAAGACCCTTCTGTCATGGTCAAGACGGTTCCTGCCGATGGGTTTTCTTCTCCCCCATTCCCATCCATTCCCTACTAAGCACCAGTAAGTCCTTATCTCGAAATAGTTGAGTTTTCCCATTAATAGCATGGTGGATCTTTCCATTGTTTTTTGTAGCTTTACCAGAGGGTAACCATCAAGCACCCATGATTCACCACTACTAACCATCACTATTAATCATTAACCACTACTAAGCATCATTAACCATCATTAACCATCATTAACCATCATTAACCATCATTAACCATCATTAACCATCATTAACCATCATTATCCATTAATGATTACTAACCATAGGGTATCTCTATTAACCACGGATCATCGATCGCGTCAGCTGGCTAAACAAGCTCTGCTCTGGGAACGCGCCGTGACGCAGCGCCTGCGCAGTCAACTCGATATGGCTGAGGCTCAATTTATCGAATCAGTGATGGAGTTGGGAGGTTTAACTAACAAAATATGGGGAGTCAATAGGATATATATATATATTATATGTATATATATATATAAATGAGAATATCATTAATATAATGGGATGTCATAGACTAGAACCAATCATTCCAGGTCAATCCACTGGATAGGGAAATTTGTGCATCAAACATGAGGGTTGAACAAAACACATTCCGGGGATCTAGCCATCATAGTGGTCAAACAACTGGAAGTGTAGTAGTAATTCCGACTGTCATCTTTTGCTATGAATCGTGATATATACATTTATCAACCAAATCAGCAACAAATCACAACATTTTGAAGGGTATCCAAGATAGAACATAGCTGGTTGGTGGTTTCAAACATGAATTTTATTGTCCATTTCCAAAAATGGGATGTCATCCGAAACCCATTGACGAACTCATATTTTTCAAGATGGTTATTGCACCACCAACCAGATATATTATTCATTAGATCAGGTATTAATCACTATAATAACCACTATTAACCACTATTTTCATCACTATTAACCATGGTTAAGTCACCACCAACCAGATAGTTCTCCGAAGCCTTCGAGGGGCATGGCCGTGGGGGTTTCCAAAATGCCACGGATCCCAAGAAATTCATCCAAAGGACTTGAGCGCGGCCCGGGGATATGGAAAATCCCATGGAAAATACCCTCTGGTAATGACATTCACAGTTTGCCATGGAAAGATCCACCATTTTTTGCTATTAATAGGTAAACCATCTACAAATATATGGGCCATTTTCAATAGCGAACTGTTAGTTTACCAGAGGGTAACATGGATGATGACTGGGGGTAGCACCATTTTTGGCATGCAAAATATTCACACATCTACTGTCAATTCCTTGCTACTTTGATCTTGAGACATACCGCTTTCCCTAGTGCCACTTTCTCATTGATTTTACATGCTAAACATGTGTTTCTGTATGGAAAACCAGTTTTTCTCATTGATATGCCATTGTATCATTTTTACCAGGCATACCAGATAATATTTGTACCAATCTTTCATACATCTTTCATACATATCTTAGATTCATCTCTTTATACCAATGATATTTGGTCATTATAATACCTACAGTATAAAGTGTGGTTACCCCCTGGTAATTTGGACAATTTGCCATGGAACATCACGGTTTTTAATAGGCACATCATGGAAGTAAAAGGGCATTTTTCACTGGCAAACTGTTAAATTTATCGGAGGATATCGAAAAGGAACTATGTCAGGATTTCATATCTATCCACATCTATTGATATCATATTAAGTATCCATATCTATCCATATCCATTCATATCTATGTATGTATTCTCTGTGTAAGAAATCCATATTGGTCATCCTACCCATAAAATACCATAAAATACAAATGATCATTGGTTATATCTCCATGAAATATCCCCATTTCAGATAGTTGGATGCCTCCCAATGATTTCAGTTGGTTGATACATTCCCATGTTTACTAGTTAAATCCCATGATATCTCATTAGGTTCCCTTTATTAAGAGTATATATATATGATATATTCCCATGATAATTTCCATTCGACCACTATATCTTCATTGGTTAAACCACGTTTGATAGTTCAACCATCAGTTTTCACCATATTTTTCATGTGTAAAACCAGGCCTGGTCGCCGCCCGATAGCGAAGAGGAGGCGCGGTGACGCTAAACCTGTGAATGTACGACCCAGGTAGGGGAATTTTAAGCAGAGAAATTGATAATTGGCCGATGGATTTCGCGGGGTAAGGCGTGATGGAAATGGATCAAACCAGTTTGCCATGTTTGCCACCTGTGAAATTGTGAAGCTCAGTTGATAGAATCCCTGGATTCTGGTTGGATTCTGGTTCCATGAAATCGGTTCGGAAACCAGTTCCAGTTTTGGGTTCCCCTTCCGCTTCCGCAGTTTCCTGGCCCTGCAGACACCAGGTACTGACATTGAAAGCCCAGATGGCGTCTCCTGGCGACGAGAAAGTCGTCATACGAAAGCCACAAAAGATGGATATAAGCAACACGCTTAAAATGCTATACCAAGACAAGAAAAGGGATACATAGTACGTAACTAAATGTAACTAAATGTAACTACATAAATGTAACTAATAGGTCTAGTATACTGGTATGATACTGGTTAATCTGATGAATCCAATTCTACAATCTCCGGGATGGTTTCGTTAGTGTGGAGCAATAGGACCGATCCTCAAGGCACAGTTTCTCAGGGGCTGAATAGCTACGATGGTAAAGGTTTGAAGCAAGATCAGATACCCTCTGGTAAACTAACATAGCTATGGAAAATCACCATTTTTAATGGGAAAACTCACTATAAATGGCCATTTTCAATAGCTACGTTAAATTACCAGCGGGTACCACTATTCGGAGTATTTCTTTGGGCAACGTTTTCACTGGTGTTTTTTTTCTCTATACGACGTTGCAGCAGCTTGCACGATGCGTTGAAGTCTGTTCGTGGTGGGCAATTTTTTCATGGCTAGCTCTGTGATCAGAAGCAGGAAGAGGATACGATGTGCAAAAGGAGAACAAGGTGATTCAATACAACCATCTACCCTCTGGTAAACTAACATAACTATGGAAAATCACCATTTTCAATGGGAAAATCCACTATTTCTATGGCCATTTTCAATAGCTATGTTAGTTTACCAGAGGGTACCGCCCTGAAAAACTGTAGAACTTCCCGTCAGAGTGCGCAGCGCAGTAAATCCCAAAACCGCGACGGTTGGGCTTTTGCCGGCTGGTGGATGGTGGAATTCTCAGCCAGTGGGATTAGAATTCCAGGCTGTGGGTTACACACTGTGGGTTTGTGTGGGTTTAAGGGGCGGCTACGCCTATTTCCAAGGTGTTTTTTTTGGCATTTTATCATGAAATTGCAAAAAAGGTTGCTCTGTATTTTGTAACTTAAGCCCGTGAGAACTCTGCTCTGAACGAGAAGTAGAGCCACTCCAGTGTTTGAGGTCTTTGCTTGAAGAAAATCGGAAACTGAAAGAGGAGGCAGAGGCCATTTTCGATGTGACCCTGTCGATCAATTTGGATCTTTGACGAAGAGGTCCCCATAGAGAGAGCGAGAGAGAGAGAGAGAGAGATGTTTTCCAGGAGGTACTATGGTGATATTTTGCCAATAAACATGTCTATCTGTCTATCTATTTTGGTGTGGCCAAAAATAAATGATATTAGAGGTAATTTATCACATCGGTGGCGCCTCACATTTGACCCCAATACCCAAGTGAAGAAATGCCAGGAGTTGTATCCCCAGTCATGGCATCGAGTCCTAGAGCATCGTGCCATGGCACGTCCGCAGCCAAATCTGTTTGTTGGGTCTGATGCAGAGCTTTGTCAGCTTATGGTCCATTGGTAGCTTTTGGTTGGTACCCTCTTGTTGCTGGTCTGTGTTTTTTGATGCTTTTGTTTTGCACTGATCTGATTTTTGCATTCAGATGCAGTTGAAACGAATCTGTTTGTTGGGTTTGCAAGGATGAACCCAAGATAAATTCAGCGGGCTGAATTGTAGTGACGAAAGACATCTCCGCTTACTTTCTGATGCAGACCTTTGTCAGCTTATGGTCCATTGGTAGCTTTTGGTTGGTACCCTCTTGTTGCTGGTCTGTGTTTTTTGATGCTTTTGTTTTGCACTGATCTGATTTTTGCATTGATATGCAGTTGAAAATTGAAACGAATCTGTTTGTTGGGTTTGCAAGGATGAACCCAAGATAAATTCAGCGGGCTGAATTGTAGTGACGAAAGACATCTCCGCTTACTTTCTGATGCAGACCTTTGTCAGCTTATGGTCCATTGGTAGCTTTTGGTTGGTACCCTCTTGTTGCTGGTCTGTGTTTTTTGATGCTTTTGTTTTGCACTGATCTGATTTGTGCATTCCCGAATCTGTTTGTTGGGTTTGCAAGGATGAACCCAAGATAAATTCAGCGGGCTGAATTGTAGTGACGAAAGACATCTCCGCTTACTTTCTGATGCAGAGCTTTGTCAGCTTATGGTCCATTGGTAGCTTTTGGTTGGTACCCTCTTGTTGCTGGTCTGTGTTTTTTGATGCTTTTGTTTTGCACTGATCTGATTTGTGCATTCCCGAATCTGTTTGTTGGGTTTGCAAGGATGAACCCAAGATAAATTCAGCGGGCTGAATTGTAGTGACGAAAGACATCTCCGCTTACTTTCTGATGCAGACCTTTGTCAGGTTGTGGTAGCTTTTGGTTGGTACCCTCTTGTTGCTGGTCTGTGTTTTTTGATGCTTTTGTTTTGCACTGATCTGATTTTTGCATTGATATGCAGTTGAAACTTGAAACGAATCTGTGTGTTGGGTTTGCAAGGATGAACCCAAGATAAATTCAGCGGGCTGAATTGTAGTGACGAAAGACATCTCCGCTTACTTTCTGATGCAGACCTTTGTCAGCTTATGGTAGCTTGTTGTTGGTACCCTCTTGTTGCTGGTCTGTGTTTTTTGATGCTTTTGTTTTGCACTGATCTGATTTTTGCATTCATATGCAGTTGAAACGAATCTGTTTGTTGGGTTTGCAAGGATGAACCCAAGATAAATTCAGCGGGCTGAATTGTAGTGACGAAAGACATCTCCGCTTACTTTCTGATGCAGACCTTTGTCAGCTTATGGTCCATTGGTAGCTTTTGGTTGGTACCCTCTTGTTGCTGGTCTGTGTTTTTTGATGCTTTTGTTTTGCACTGATCTGATTTTTGCATTGATATGCAGTTGAAACGAATCTGTGTGTTGGGTTTGCAAGGATGAACCCAAGATAAATTCAGCGGGCTGAATTGTAGTGACGAAAGACATCTCCGCTTACTTTCTGATGCAGACCTTTGTCAGCTTATGGTCCATTGGTAGCTTTTGGTTGGTACCCTCTTGTTGCTGGTCTGTGTTTTTTGATGCTTTTGTTTTGCACTGATCTGATTTTTGCATTGATATGCAGTTGAAACGAATCTGTTTGTTGGGTTTGCAAGGATGAACCCAAGATAAATTCAGCGGGCTGAATTGTAGTGACGAAAGACATCTCCGCTTACTTTCTGATGCAGAGCTTTGTCAGCTTATGGTCCATTGGTAGCTTTTGGTTGGTACCCTCTTGTTGCTGGTCTGTGTTTTTTGATGCTTTTGTTTTGCACTGATCTGATTTGTGCATTCCCGAATCTGTTTGTTGGGTTTGCAAGGATGAACCCAAGATAAATTCAGCGGGCTGAATTGTAGTGACGAAAGACATCTCCGCTTACTTTCTGATGCAGACCTTTGTCAGGTTGTGGTAGCTTTTGGTTGGTACCCTCTTGTTGCTGGTCTGTGTTTTTTGATGCTTTTGTTTTGCACTGATCTGATTTTTGCATTGATATGCAGTTGAAACTTGAAACGAATCTGTGTGTTGGGTTTGCAAGGATGAACCCAAGATAAATTCAGCGGGCTGAATTGTAGTGACGAAAGACATCTCCGCTTACTTTCTGATGCAGACCTTTGTCAGCTTATGGTAGCTTGTTGTTGGTACCCTCTTGTTGCTGGTCTGTGTTTTTTGATGCTTTTGTTTTGCACTGATCTGATTTTTGCATTCATATGCAGTTGAAACGAATCTGTTTGTTGGGTTTGCAAGGATGAACCCAAGATAAATTCAGCGGGCTGAATTGTAGTGACGAAAGACATCTCCGCTTACTTTCTGATGCGACCTTTGTCAGCTTACTTGTCCATTGGTAGCCTTTTGGGTTGGTACCCTCTTGTTCTGGTCTGTGTTTTTTTGAATGCTTTTGTTTTGGCCTGATCTGATTTTTGCATTGAATATGCAGTTGAAACGAATCTGTTTGTTTGGGTTGCAATGGATGAACCCAAGATAAATTCAGCAGCGTGCTGAATTGTGTGACGAAAGACATCATCCGTTACTCTTTCTGATGCAGACCTTTTGTCAGCTTTATGTGGTCTGTTGTTTTGTTAAATCTTTTGTTTTGGTACTGATCTGAATCAGGATGAATGGATTATGCGTTAGATGTTTGTTGCCTCGTTCTGTTTGGTCTGGTTTGTTGGGTTTGCAAGGATGAACCCCAGATAAATTCAGCGGGCTGAATTGTAGTGACGAAAGACATCTCCGCTTACTTTCTGATGCAGACCTTTGTCAGCTTATGGTCCATTGGTAGCTTTTGGTTGGTACCCTCTTGTTGCTGGTCTATGTTTTTTGATGCTTTTGTTTTGCACTGTGATTTGTGTGTTCTGATGTTGACCGAATCTGTTTGTTGGGTTTGCAAGGATGAACCACAGATAAATTCAGCGGGCTGAATTGTAGTGACGAAAGACATCTCCGCTTACTTTCTGATGCAGACCTTTGTCAGCTTATGGTCCATTGGTAGCTTTTGGTTGGTACCCTCTTGTTGCTGGTCTGTGTTTTTTGATGCTTTTGTTTTGCACTGATCTGATTTTTGCATTGATATGCAGTTGAAAATTGAAACGAATCTGTGTGTTGGGTTTGCAAGGATGAACCCAAGATAAATTCAGCGGGCTGAATTGTAGTGACGAAAGACATCTCCGCTTACTTTCTGATGCAGACCTTCGTCAGCTTATTATATATAACTTGTTGTTGGGACCCTCTTGCTGGTCCGTGTTTTTGTCAAAGCTTTTGTTTTGTGCTGATCTGATTTTTGCATTCAGATGCTGTTGGCTCGTTCTGTTTGTTGGGTTTGCAAGGATGAACCACAGATATATAAATTCAGCGGGCTGAATTGTAGTGACGAAAGACATCTCCGCTTACTTTCTGATGCAGACCTTTGTCAGCTTGTGGTAGCTTATGGTTGGTACCCTCTTGTTGCTGGCATGTTTTTTTTTTTCCTAAAGCTCTTGTCTTGCACTGATCTGAGTTATGCGCTCAGATGTTGTTGGCCGAATCTGTTTGTTGTGAAAAAGGTAATCAACGGGCTGAATTTTCCTGACAAATGGATACACATGGCATATTTTGTTTTGTTTTTGTTTCATTTTGTTTTTTTGTTGTGACCTTTGTTTTGAAGTTTTCATCTGTTCATGTATGAAAACGACTAGCAGGGGTTGAACACCATTTTTTGTTGTTTTAAAACCCTGAGTTTGGTTGATTTGATATTATTTGGTGTCGTTCGAGCCCAACTTGTTCATCATTAAAAGCCTCATGTTTCTCTATTCAACACAGTTTATTTCATTGAACAATCCATACTAACTCCATCTAAGCCCGAATTTTGCGTGGTTTTTTGCCAGCCGGGCCTCTTGAAGCCACTCCTTTTGCCAGGCATCGTCCAGCGACAGCAGCGACGGCGAGGCGCGTGCCCAGTATCTGCTGGCCAGCTAGGCCCTGAGATCAAAAGACTCTATATTGTAAAACACTAGTTGTACCCACTATGTCACTATCCCAATGTTTTACACATGATGTTTTACCAGTTGTACCAGTTGTACTCGTATCACATGTTGTACCCACTATCCCAATGTTGATTCGGCCCTATAAAAAACTGGTGAAAAATGGATTGACTCGAAAGTCCCTTTTGTTGCGACTGCCAAGTTCCCCAATTGGATGGCCACCAGCATGAAAAAACCCAATTGGACACCCCTTTTGTTGCTTGAATCCCCATATTTATCGAGTATCTCTTTAAACCTTTGAGTTGTATTCTCACCTAAAAGCCTGTTGTTGGTTCAGTCTGAACGCAAATTTTTGTTGATTGAAATGGATCAGGGATAAAACTATCCCGACTGTTGGTGTTTACATGTATGTAGTGATTCACATACCCAACAGAAAACAATAGCTGTCAGTAGTTTATCCCCCAAGGGAAATGCCTTTGTTTTGAGAATACCATGCCCTGAATCCATTATCGGATGATTTAATATTCATAGTAATTGCTCAAAATGAAGATTTTATCCTCTGGTAATCCAGTCATAGTTATTATATTTCTATTTTCATGAAGATAGGCTTTTTGGCCAAATGCCATTGTAATCTGTGCGCCGGTCCAGGAGACAGAAGCATTGCAGGCAGAAGTGCGTGACGCGCAGGTCAGAGAGTAATTTTCCGAAACGTCAGGACGGTCATCTTACAATTTTGGCTCTTTACCAGTTACCCTCTGGTAAACAGCCACATAACTATGGAAAGATCCACCATGCTATTAATGGGAAAATCCACTATTTCTTTGGCCATTTTCAATAGCTTTTTGTATGTTTACCAGTTAAAATCGAAGTTCCATCTAAATCCCAGTCTTGGTGAGATCCTTACCCTCTAACAGTTCGCTAACTTTTATTTTAATGGGAAAATCCACTATGGTTTACCAGTTAAAAGTCACTTTTTTTTTTACCCCATAGCCATGGAATGAATGATGATCCCAAAGCCGTGGGTGACAGGATAAGCCTCGGATGAATGATCGATGAATCCCCACCAACTGACTTTTTTCTCTGTTTTTCCCAGGCTGAAAAACTGATATTCTGAAAGTTCTGAGTTATTTTTTCTGACATATGTTATGACATTTCATCTCATACATATATGGGTATGGATCAATACCTATAGATACATTTTTAGTGGGATGAACATCCATTTACCAGCTATTTTGATGTTCACCAGGGGTACAAGGTTTTGACACACTGCCATATAAATATTTAATTAGACATGTTATCTCCGGCATTCTGGCGAGGTCCAGGCAGGTAGATGGTAGACATCAACTCTAGAGTCCCTCACCTGGGGTGGGGAAAAAGAATTGTCTGGTTAGATTTTGATGCAATTTGTAATGGGGGCACGATCTGGATATGTGACATATATATATATATGGGAGCCGTCCGTAAAAGCAGGTCACAAATTTATGAATTGATGCGTTTACTTTGCTTTGCGCGATTGCTAAAACCTGCATCGCGATAGGCTGAGCGATTGGTTGGCGATTGGTTATACGGCTACCACCCTATTACTACTACTACTACTACTAGTACTAGTACTACTACTACTACTACTACTACTACTAGTACTACTACTACTACTGCTACTACTACTACTACTAGTACTACTACTACTACTACTACTACTACTTTTACTACTTTTACTACTAGTACTGCTAGTACTGCTAGTACTGCTAGTACTGCTAGTACTGCTAGTACTGCTAGTACTGCTAGTACTGCTAGTACTACTACTACTACTACTACTTTTACTACTTTTACTACTAGTACTGCTAGTACTGCTAGTACTGCTAGTACTGCTAGTACTGCTACTACTACTACTACTACTACTTTTACTACTTTTACTACTAGTACTACTAGTACTGCTAGTACTACTAGTACTACTAGTACTACTACTACTACTACTACTACTACTACTAGTACGACTACGACTACGACGACTACTACTACTACTACTACTACTACTACTTTCGAGACCAGAACCATGCCAATAATTGACATGGCCGCGCGGATTCCGCGCGCGCGGAATCCGCGCAGATGTTTTCAGGTCAGAAGGACATTCAAGCTAGCTCCAATTGAAAACAGGTCAGAAACAGGTCAGAAAACAGGTCAGAAACACCAAAAAGGCAGCACTTGCCTAGCATCCCATCCATCCATCCATCCATCCATCCATCCATCCATCCATCCACCTCAGCTCTTATCATTGCTACTTCTACTATTATTATTACTACTATTACTACTATTACTACATTACTACTATTACTACTATTACTACTATTACTACTATTACTACTATTACTACTATTACTACTATTACTACTATTACTACTATTACTACTATTACTACTATTACTACTTCTACTCCTCCTCCTCCTCCTACTACTACTACTACTACTTTCGAGACCAGAACCATGCCAATAATTGACATGGCCGCGCGGAATCCGCGCGCGCGGATTCCGCGCGCGCGGAATCCGCGCAGATGTTTTCAGGTCAGAAGGACATTCAAGCTAGCTCCAATTGAAAACAGGTCAGAAACAGGTCAGAAACAGGTCAGAAACACCAAAAAGGCAGCACTTGCCTAGCATCCCATCCATCCATCCATCCATCCATCCACCTCAGCTCTTATCATTGCTACTAATACTACTACTACCATCCACCTCAGCTCTTTTCATTGCTACTAATACTACTACTACTCCTGCTACTACTACTACTGCTACTACTACTGCTACTACTGCTACTACTACTACTCCTACTACTACTCCTACTCCTACTCCTACTCCTACTTCTACTCCTCCTCCTACTCCTACTCCAAACGCAACCTCTCTCTCTCTCTCCCTTGCCTATTCCCTCACCCTCCTACCAGAACTCCTACGCCTACTCCTATTCCAATTTCCACTACCACTACTGCTAGTGCTACTGCTACTGCTAGTGCACTGTGAGTTTTCCGGACCGTTTCCGGACCGCACAAGCTTATTTTGCTTCCAAATTTGAAATCGAATGCGTTCACGCATGGATCCTTACTCCCACTACTAGATTTGCTACTACCCCCAGCACTACCACCACACCCGCTGCTACTGCACCACCACTACCACTAGTACACCTAGGAATTTCTGCTCTTGCTTTTAAATCCAATTGACACGAGTTCCGCTGAAGGGTCAGAAACGAGTCAGAAACCAGTCAGAAACCCGTCAGAAACCGGTCAAACGCAACCATCTGTTTCCCCCTCCCTCCCTCTCTCTCTCTCTCTCTTTCTCTCTTTCCCTCCCTCTCCCTTTCTTCCCTTGCCCTGCTACTAGAACTCCTTCTCCTATTCCTACTCCTACTCCTACTCTTACCCCTCCTACTACTATTCATACTACTACTACTACCACCACGACTACTACTACTACTACTACTACTACGACTACTACGACTAGTACTACTAGTACTACTAGTACTACTAGTACTACTAGTACTACTGCTGCTGGTACTACTGTGAGTTTTCCGGACCGTTTCCGGACCGCGCGAGCTTATTTTGTTCCCAAATTTGAAATCGAATGCGTTCACGCATGGATCCTCATTATATAATACATAACTTATATTTTATGTATATGATCTGATCAACGAAGAACAAGCCCTTCCGCGATTGCTCACTGTGGTACCGCGGTTGCTACGCGATTGGCTGAGCGATTGAGGGCTGTCCGGGAAAAGGTATTTTGGACAACCCCCATATGATGATCTATGATCTATGACCATAGCTGGTTGCTGGTTTTGATATATATATATATAATGATGATCTATGACCACTGGTCATTATGCTATATATCAGATGATATATGATGATTTATGACCACATTACATGATTTTCACCAGATATGATGATATATGATGGGATATACCAGATATATGGTTTCACATGTTTCTCCAAGTTTTCTCCACAAAGTGGTGATGATTCACAATGGCTTGCATGTTGACGGTGCCACCAAGCAACTGTCGACAGATAGCAACAAAAGATTGGACTCGGGTGATCAAAACATATGTTTTTCTACGCAAATAATTGTAAATAAGTTTTTTTTTTTAATATATATGTTCGTATTTTCGTATATACGTGTATATGTGCATATGCGTATATGTGTTTATGTGTGTGTGCATATATATATATATATCTATATGAATGTAAATATGTATATGTAAATATGCATATGTACATATGTAAACAAATGCGTGTATATATATATTATATGTATATATATGTATGAATATGTATATAACGATGTATACGTATATATATATAATTATGTATATAAATATGTATACATGTATATATGGGATATATGGTATATGCATCATATATCCACAAACAGATCAAAACATATGGGAATGTCACCAGCTCACTCGACCATCACTTTTTAGGGTGGAAATCGTCAGTTACTCTGTATTTTTGTTGATGTTAATATAGGATATATAGGACATACATGGGCTAAACACAAGTCATGCCACAATTTTGTCTCATCTTTGTGCAGGAAACCAATAAAGACCTAATGATGATTAGCAACAATGATAAGAGTAATAGCAATAACCATAGCAATAACTCTAGTGCTACTAATGAATATGTGATGAACATATATTTTCTGTCTAAGAGCCCTGTTCATAAGAGGGCCTTTTTCGAAAACCCTTCTTAACCGCAGAAAATTTCCGAGGCAGAAATTGAGTTTCAGCGCTTAGCTGGGGATGGATCCGTGAAAAACGTCATCTGATTGTCTTTTGTAAACCAAGCAGTACCACGGACTTCGCTTCAATTTTCACCAGCTATGCCCCCGAAACGTCCCAGGCGGAGTTAGAAGTGGCACAAGAAAAGTTGAAGGCTGGACAGGTGCGGCATTCCCTTCATGGCTTTCGATCCGTCGCTTTTGGATGAGAAAATGTGATGTTTTGCTTATCCCAACCACAACCTTTCAAGTGTTTGGTCGAGGTTGGTTATCTTTTTGGTGACTGGTGGGGTGAAAAAATACATACGTAGATATAATTGATAAATGATGTTTAATTGATTATTATCATTATTATTGCTACGTATGAATTGTAGTTTATTCTCACTGTTATTGTTACTACTATGACTGGGGTTATTGGGCTATACTTGTTTTATTCACGTCGCTTCGCGACGGCAACCGCCCGCACCGCATCGTTGGGCAGCCGCTCGTAACTGCCAATGATGTCGGCCATTGAGACCAAAATCATCCGAAAGTACCGATTGTCGGAAAAAAAAACGCGAAGAATTTGATAGCCATGTATAGCGGACCAACACAGTTCAAAAAATAACGAAAAACATGAAAAAACGGCGAAATTGCTCTTATTTAGAGTGTTTTTGCGCGGTGAGAAGCAGAAACCACTGCAAATACCATGGTTTTCGAGGGTCAGGTGGCCAAAAACACTGTAATTTACAGTGTTTTTTTAACCAACGTCAAAAAACACTGGTATTTACGATGTTTTCATTCACACCGTAACATAAAACAGCGTAATTTACGAGGTTTTTGGAAGTTTTGAAGCTAGCCGTCAAGCATGCAGAAAACAGAAAAACACTGTAAAAACCAGTGTTTCTGCTATCACAAAACGACGAAAATCAGTCCGAAAACGGGTCCAAAAACTCAAAAATCCGCCTCCGGGCCAGGCCACCTGCGGAACCGCAAAAAAAGATGTTGCAAACCAAAAAATTGAGGTCAAAAAGTTGAAAAACACGGGTTTTTTTCACTTTTCGCTTGCCGATTTTGGACGGGCGCGTTCACGAACAGGTGTCTTCCGTACTGTTTTTTACAGTGTTTTTTGAAGGCGAGCGTCACGACCTATCAAAAACAGGAGGTTTTGGACGAATAATGGCCCCCCCCCCCCAGGTAAACCTGTAACCTTTTTACGAGTGCCATCCGGAAGATCACGCCCCAGCACCTTCGGTGCGGGCGGATTTTGTGGATTTTGAGCTGACAAAACAATGGGAATCCTTAGTAAGATCACATGTGCTGGCCAGAATCACTGGATAGGGATGTAGCTGTTGACACTATCAGCACCGAGGTTTCAATCATGCACTTAGCGGAGGATATAGCTGAGAATGACAACAATGATATGGGATAGAAAAACCAGAAAAACGATAGGAGAAACAACTTAAACTTTGTCAAGGAAGCCATACCGATTGGGATAGCTGCTTAGAGGCTATGATGAATTAGGCCATGTATGGCCTACCCTATGGCTGGCACCACAGTCCTGGAAGTTTTGAGGACAGTTGGCACAGCATCTACAAACTACCAGCGCAGAACCTGTCGGCAGGTTTATCTTCCTAGTGTTTTATCAACGAATGAGCCATGGCGAAAAAAAAACAGGAGTGTTTTTGGGTTGGACTACCATTCTGCCAGATTTCTATTTAGTTTACATAGTGCTTTGTTAACTCCATCTCTATTTTGCCTATTTCTATTATACCCCTAACATCCCAAGCCCCAGCATACAGTCTGATTCTTGTTCCGTAATTGACCATAAATGACCACACATATAGAATGAGATAAACTCCATTAATGACAATATCAAATTCATACACCTTTCTGGTGTCATCATACATGGCTTGCTTGAAGATCCATCATTTAGTTGATTTTCCCAGCTATAAACCTCCATTTATCGGGGAAATTCCAGCCATGTTGACACCAAAAGTTCGACATCACGAGACAAAAGACGAAACTGTTGAAGCGCCATTGGGTTTATGGTATATCGAAATAATCCTACTATATTCATAGTAATAGAACTATTACCCTCTGGTTATGACTAACATAGCCATTGTATAGATGGCCCATAGAAATAGATGGTCTACCGTTCTTAAAAATGGGTGATCTTTCCATGGCTATGTTAAATAAGCAGATGGTATATTTATAGTAATAGAACTATTAACCAACTATAGTAGGATTAATATATCTAAATACATTAAAATGTTGTAAACCAACTTGTGACTTCAGCAAGTAGTTCAACAACGTTTTGGGATTTAAACCACCGAACATCGGCGGGATGTGATCCGAACATCGATGGGGAGTTGCTGTTGATCACTCTTGGATGGACGAGGAAGATATCGATTGGGCGACTATATAGAAGCCAAGAAACATACCCGGAGGGGCAATCAAACATGGCTTGCTGGAAAAGAATCGACTTATTGCGATGTATATAATTCCCATTACATCCTCCATTGATCTCCATGGTTTTTGGGGTTTTACCAGCGATGTTTGACACCGAAGGGTATCTGGGGGGTCCCGCATTTGATGATTCAGGATTTCACGGACTTTTACACCCTCTGATCTAAGACTTTGCTATGGAAAATGGGCCATTTTATAGATGAGTTACCTATTAAACTATCAAACATGGTGATTTTCCATAGCGATAGTAGATTACGGGACTGGAATGGCACTGAATATATCATTTTTGTGAACTAGTAGAACCAACTGGACAAGGATATTTTAAACTTAGGTGGCAAGACAGATCCCTTGATGGATTTGTTTCTTAAAGATGGCCTTGTTCTATCTTGTTCTACCGGATGTGGCTCGCCGCCCCCCGGGCCCCAGGGACCCCCAGAGACCCCTTCGCCAGGAGCAGCAGAGGGCAGCCGACGAGCAGGCCGTCAAGAGATGGATTGTACACCCATATTAGTGGATGGCCATCAATCCATTAGTAGGGATATATATATATATAAACAGGATTCGTAAAATGGGGGATCCTCAAAATCATAGGTTCAATACTAAAATTGTCTAATGACTTGGATGATTTGGGGGTGCCCCTATTTTAGGACCCCAATTCTGCTTGGATTCCCATGGGGATGGATGTCCATCAACTATTTCTCACCTGGAAAAATTATCGAGTTTGTGAGTTCATGTGGGGATTCTTATGTATATCCATTCTAACTATCATGGATGATTTACATATTATATCCATTGTAAGATTCTGCATTGTGAGTTGTTTATTGGATTCTTGGTCAAGTTCAGGTTGTGGATACCACAACCTTTTGGGTGAGTCGTCACTTTCCCGTGTCGAATTTCTCGTCGAGTTTCTTGTCAATCTCCAAGGTGGCTGCGGCCAAAGCAGAGGCAAAGGGCTGGGTAAAGTGCAGGGTTTTGGTGGTGAATGGATCAGTTGCCACTTTGAACGGCCAACCCATTGAACATAACTAATTGATAGTTGGACATTTCACATACTATATATTTGATCAATGGCCATTTCAGGATCCTAAATTGGAGGTATCTACCATATATAAGGCCTATGTAAGGCCTATGTAAGGGAATATCCCCAGAAAATATGGCCTTAAAAAGGTACAGTACCTCCATTTTAGGATCCTGAATTTCCCATTGATTTGAGAATCACATCAACTTTTTAAGGGATAAAACTGGGGTTCATGGGTTCATGACGATTAATTTCTGTAGCCATTCGCCCTGGAGATTGCTGTGCCCACACAAAACTGATGTGAACAATGTTTCTGTTCGAAAATGGGTACTGCTAGCCATAATATGGACTGAATATATCGATTGCGACGAAGTATGCAAATTCAGTATGCGCCAACGAACATCTCTACCCCGAAGAGCACAGTCTTTGGGTATTACACTCCAACACCTCAGAATCTTTACGTCAAAGATGTTCGCTGCAGAATTCACAAAAACCAAAAGAACAAAGTCACCCATCGTCGTTCTGGTTCCAGGCGGAAGAACACAGGATGTCGGGATTATATATTATATCCTTGGAAATTATGTTTTTTTTTCACATTTTATAACCAGCTCAAAAAGCCAAATTTCAGTAACCTCAAGTGTTGACTTGACGCCACGCAGAGATGTCTGGTGGATCCCTTTGGGACGTGACGAATGGCCACATTCCATAAACCATTGGTCAATCATTTCGATACCAGTTTTCCATAGTTTCCCTTAGCTTTTTCCCACCCATGTTGGGTATTTGATACGAATGTCATTTCTTTGTATCTTTCAATCCTTTTTTTTCCCCCATGATATATCCATATGGAATCTATAGCATCCATAGATTTTCCACTGGTTTTTTCCCTCTCCGACCAGGCGGATGCCCTTCGCAAGGCCATGGACACCTTGGAGACGGAGAAGGCGGCGGCGGCAGAAGCTGCGCAGGAGGAGAGCGGAACTGGTGATTTGAAGAGGTGATCGATGGAGATCATCCCAATGGTCAGTTTTTGCAGAGATCTTATGCATCTCTTATACATAATATATATAATTATATATACATACTATATATACTATATATACTATATATACTATATATACATACTTTATAATATATACTATATATATACACTGTATAATATATACTATATATATATATACTATATATATACTATATATATACATACTATATATACTATATATATATGTACTATATATATATACTATATATATACTATATATATAGTATACTATATATAGTATACTATATATAGTATACTATATATACTATATATACTATATAATATATACTATATATATATGTACTATATATATAGTATATATATACTATATATATACTATATATATACTATATATATACACTATATATATATACACTATATATACTATATCTATACTATATATATACTACATATATATATACTATATATATACTATATCTATACTATATATATACTATATATATATACTATATATATATACTATATATACTATATATATACATACTATATATATATACTATATATATATACTATATATATACTATATATATATATACTATATATATACTATATATATACTATATATATACTATATATATACTATATATATACTATATATATACTATATATAAATTCTATAAATATATACTATATATACACTATATATACTATATATATACACTATATATATACTATACATATACTATATATATACTATATATATACTATATATATTATACTATATATATACTATTATATATATACTATATATATACTATATATATACTATTATGTATATACTAGATATATATACTATATTTACTATATATATACTATACATATACTATATATATACACTATATATATACACTATACATATACTATATATATAATATATTACTATATATATACTATTATATATATACTATATATATATACACTATATATACACTATATATATACACTATATATACACTATATATACACTATATATAAACTATATATATACTATATATATACACTATATATATACACTATATATATACTATATATATAGTATATATAGTATACATACATACTATATATACTATATAGTTTATATATATACTATATATATAGTGTATATGTATACTATATATATAGTGTATATGTATACTGTATATATAGTGTATATGTATACTATATATATAGTATATATATACTATATATATACACTATATGTATACTATATATATACTATATATATACTATATATATAATTATACACTATATATATACTATACATATATATATACTATATATATACACTATAATATATACAGATGATCAGTTTGCTTTGAAATCTATCACCACGGGCACGGAGGAGGCGAAGGTGATCCGCGGGGCCGTGGAAGAACTGAAGAAGAAGTTGCAGGACAGGGATGGTGCTTCGCCACTGGTTCACAGTGGTTCATTCTGGTTGATAATTGTTAATAATGGTTGGTAATGGTTGATAATGGGTAATAATTGTTAGTAATGGCTAATAATGTTGGTAAGACAATAATAAATTAACCATCCCCCAGTGATCACAATTTTTATAGGTTCTATAAACCATTCCAAATGGGTGGTTTATGGCATTGTTTTACCCACATTAATGGTTTCATGATTAATGGTCACTAATGGTCAGTCCCCTCACATCAAACACCCCATTGATTATGCTTCCAATTCAGTGGAAATTACTTACTAAACCATTGTTTCGTTTGGGGGTGTTTAATATTAGAGGGGGTGTAATTATGGTTCATAATGGTTATTATAATGGTTATGGTTATAATGATTGTTAATAATGATTAATACTGGTTAATCATGGCTAAATCTATGGAACGTACTTGAAATATAACCAAGAAGGCTGTGTATGAATAATGGGATGAATACTGATAACCCTCTGTTTTTTGATGTAGCCATGGACAATGTCTATTTTTGATAGGCAAATCATAAATCAATGACAGTTTTCGAGCACTTTGCAACAGGAATTATTAAAAGCCAACGGGTCATGACTCTGATCATAGTATTTAAACATATTTCATCCCAACCAGATCCCAACCAAATGGTCACCATATGTCATCATCATCATCATCATCATCAACTTTTCGGGGCCCGAATACCAATCGTCACAAAATGGGTGCCGAATCGCTCGCAGCGCCGGAAAAGGAGCTGCTGAAAGACGGGGAAGAGAGGCCAGAAACGAATTCAACGTCAATTGAGGGTTTCACCATTCGAAAAATTGGTTTCTCCGAAAAAGGGGTACCAAAATTACATTTTTAGTCGGGAAACTGATGATACATAGACCATGTGTTTTTTGTTATCTTATTTTGAGACAAAACCCAAATTGCGGATACCAATGTGTGAAACACCATAAATGATGGCTCCCTTGGACTCCCTGAACTCATTCAAAATGAAAATTGTCATTGATTAACTTGGGAAGTAATGTCCGCCCAACCAGTAGAACTGCAAGTTTGGAAGCCCAAACTGGCCATATCCAACTGGAACAATATCCTGGGGACGCTATGTTCTTACAATTTCCGAGGACCATCTTGTTAGATTTTCCTCTTGAGGCCATATGTAACCATCTTGCTCTCGATGACTTCGACTAAAACTTTGAACTGGAATCTCATGATCTCCGTGGTATTTTAGTTGTATCCATCTCACATCATAAGTAGATAAACATATTTCATATACGTACTGTCCATATATATATATAAATACATAGAATTACATAGACATATGTAAATGCTTAACGTGTACACACACATATATATATATATACACGTATATACACATATGTATATGTATATACAAATAATATATATATATATAGTGTTTGGTTGCACGGCCGCTATCCCACCGTAGGTATCTGTTTGCCGATGTCCTCTGATGAAAGCCATGATGAAAGCCAATCGCCACAGAGTCCCTTATCGCCTGGCGCCAGGTGGACGGACAAGTGCGAGGACTGCACGGCAGCTTGCGCAGAGGGGTGCATCACTTATTCTGTGCAAGCTGTCGTGGCAATCCTCATGGTGCTCTCCTTCCCCTTCATGGCGATATGGTTCAGTTGCATCAAACCTCTCGCGGACGGATTCGAAGATTGGTGGAAGAGGAAGTAAGTGCCCTACTCGCACCAAAGACACGGTATCCGCTACCGAGGATTCCATGCAAGCCCTGTTCTATTGCGGTTCTGCAGACCAACCGCTAGCCCTGGATGAGTTTGCTGTCGTGATTGATTATTTCAAGGTTCACCGACCGCAGATCAAAGGCCGGTTCAATGAGCTGGACGGTGGCTCAGGCACAGAATGCGCGGCTGAAGCTACATCGCTCATGGACCCAATACATCGACGAGTCAGTCAAGCTTTGGAGAACTTTCGCAACAGACTTCGCGAACAAGGATGCAGAGATGGCGAAAAAAGTCACGGAAGCCAAAGAGGCTGTCCAGGAGGCAAAAAAGAAGTACGACACTGCGAAAGAAGACAACGATCGACAAGACGCAGCGAACATCGAGGATGTAGAGGAGATTTCGGATGGGATGGAGGACGAGCCGACCGACAAGATGGCTACGGCAGAAGAGATCCAGGCCAACATCAACACGATGTTGGACAACCTGGAGGTCCTTCGAGCTCGACCTGCACAAGAGCAATCCGAACATGCCAACAAGAAGCAACGTACAGATCCAGGAGACGATGGGGAACTACCTGGACAGCATGGCTTTGGGGCTTCTGCTCTCAAGCCTTTTGGTGCGCCCGGCAAATAGACCAAAGGACGGAGGTTTGCCAAGGGCTACAAGAGGGGCATTATCATTCTATGGACTATGTGGTGCATCAATGGACGCACTCCATCATCAATGAATGGAAGGCCAGTATCAACGCTCTTGATCTGGCTTTTGCAATGAGTGAGGCATCTCTACATGGTGAAGCATCAAGATCATTTGCACGAGATGAGGCAACACATAGTCGCAAAGGTTTGAGGGTGAAGTTCAACCACAATGTGGAGCTCTATGTGGGCGATGAGCACGAGCATTTTTTTCAAGGTTGGCGACTTCACTGCAACACACCAGTTCGAGAGGCCAGAATTTTCAGACCATTGCGAAGCCCTCTAGCAGATGAGACATCGTTCATGTCCATGGGGACCTTTGACAGAAACAGACCCTTTGGACCTGAAGCACGACATGAGGATAGAATTGCAGACCGTGAGGACGTTGCGATTGACCCAGACATTGAGTTTGTAGAAGCAGATGAAGAGGCATACAGCACTGACAATGAGGGTACAGCCAGTACTGGCAGACCAGAGCAAGACTGGTTTGCGACTCTTCTATTTGCGCTGGATCATCAGCCTATTCCCTTGCGGGTTGACTGGAATGACTTGGAGGACATGCAGCGCAGCGCAGCGCATGTACTTGAGATCAGCAATCACAACCTCTTCTACTTGCATCATGTGCAACATGCACCACAAGATCTTGTTGACGCCGGTGTGGAAGTTCTTATTGGACATCGTCATGGAGACATCGCTCAAGGATCATCCCTTCAGCTTGTTCTTCTTGATGTGGAATTTCATTCTGCTGTTCCAGCAATTCAACATGAGGTGGTGCGCAGAATTGTCAGAATACCCAGACAGATTGGTCGACTTGCTCTACTACATCGTCTTGGGCTTGCTGCATACTGCCGCAGAACAAAGCAGAACTGCATTCTTTGGTGCAATGGAGAGATCATTTCACATTACAGTGCCAGACCCATGGACATCATGCACGGCACCTACCTACGAATTGCTGTTCCACCAGGCGACAACACCATCAACCACATTGGAACCAGGTGCATAGCCACAGCGTGACAGGCATGCACTTTTTGCATTAGGATGGTATGACACAATTGTTGGACAGCCTCTTGTACCACTACGACCAGATGAAGAGGAAGTTGCACTACTTCAACGTAAAGTAGGAGTACCGCCTCTACCTGAAAGACCTTGGTTTATCAATGGAGCTGATGAATTTCAGATTGACGCCAATGTTCCTGAAGATCATGCAGAAGAAGATGTGGGAGATATCACAAGAGACTACGTCAATCGACTTGACCAAGGAGGACCTGGTGGTATCAATCCTCGTCCGGGCCTGGATGAACAACCCGAACGCATTCAAAATCTGGTTGATCAACTTGAAGAACATGGTGGACTTGAAATGGAACAAGAAGGACCAGTTTTGTATGTGAATACATGGTTCCTTAGCCGTCCAAACCAGCGGCACTGCACTGAATACAGAACAGTGCGTTTGGCAGGCAACTTCAGTCATTGGCACGATCAATTTCTGAGGACGTGGAACGATCTACTTGAAGAAGGACAGCCTGTGGACTTCTACATTGTATATCCGCAGCCACCAACCACCAGGATGCAGCCGATGTGTCTCCCACATGTAATTCTGCTACAGAGAACCATGGAATAGGAGAGTCGACCGAGAGCTTACCATGACATTGACGAAGCACTACACATGTTTCTAGTGGACTACCTCGCTGAGCACGCAGAGACGCACCTGGAGGGCGCTGATTTTGGAAGTGCGGTACGCGTATGGCTGCTGGATCATGCAATTTCATGGACACGAACGCGAAGCACTCTCATGTTCTTCCGCGATACGCTTTCGGAGACCGATGCGCAGATGTTTCATCCCGGCATGCACAAGATCCAGATGGAGATTGACCAGCTGCTGGGCCTCAGAACCTGGAGCTTTTTGAGCATGGGCGAGGAGAAGAAAGAGGCCAATCGGGACATCGCTGGCTGTCATCAAGAATGCCATTGGTGGAAGAGCTGGTAGCAGCGACAGTCGCAGGATCCCCAAACCTGTGGGTCGGCAACGCATTGTGCTACACGCATTTGCCGGTCGACGCAGATTGGGCGACTTACAATATTATCTGGAGAGGGATTTATCCAGCAAGGCATCCTATGATTTGGTGACTGTGTCTCTTGACATCGTCATTAACCAGCACTGGGGAGATGCCACAAGGGCTGATACACGTCGTCTCTGGCTCTATTAAGCCATTAGAGATCGTTACGTGATCGGTTTTGTCGCTGGACCGCCATGTGAAACATGGTCGAGGGCGCGAGGAGTTCCACATGGCCGAGCTCCTCCTGCAGATGGTGATGGTGATGCGGCGCCTGGACTTCCAGTACATGGCAGAGGACTCCCTAGAATCCTTCGTACGCTTTCTGAGTTATGGGGCCTTATGTCACTTGGCATCCGTGAACTCTGTCAGATCCTGACAGGGAACAGTCTTTTGATATTCGCCCTGGAGGCGATTGTAGAAATCGCACTCGCGGGCTCAGTTGGCTTAGTAGAACATCCGGCGGAGCCGGATGACCTGGTAGATGCCTCATCCATCTGGAGACTTCCAGTAATGGACATCATTTTGCATCTACCATGTGTGGAAAAGATTCGCTTCGCACAAGGTCTTCTTGGCGCCAAGACAGCTAAGCCAACGGAACTCCTTTGCGTGAACCTGCCATCTATGATGCAACATCTCCACGCCAATCGCGTTCGTAAGGAACTGCCGAGAGGCCAATCTGTGGGCAAGGATGGTCAAGGGCACTGGCGTACGTCCTCCTTAAAGGAGTACGCTCCAGCATTGTGCAAAGCGATTTCTGAAGCACTCAGGGCAGCTTTTGACCCACAAGAGGTTGCTGCCGAACATGTCTGTGTCCCTCAGCATCTTCTGGACATTTGTCATTCAATGCAAGTTCAGACATTTGGATCGAACTTTGGACCCGACTATGCTAGGTGACACATTCATCTTCCTTTTGAATTCACATTTGCAGAGCCGCGGCGTCACAGCATCAAAGAGCTCACAGGAAAAACTGCGTATATTATATATATAGAGGTATATGTATATATGTGTATATGTATATATGTGTAAATGTATATATGTGTATATGTATTTATGTGTGCATATATATATATATATATACATATGTATATATATATATGTATACATATACACACACACACACATATATATATATATAAAAGATACATGGTCAGCCCCCCAAATAGATAGAACAGTTGAAACCCTGGAAATTCCAGGGGACACATCATCCTTGGCGCCCAGGAGCGCCAAGGAAGCCGCGCAACGCGGGGTGGAGGCGACGGAGATGGAGGATTTTCCTCTCCAAAAATGGGATATACCCAAATAACCCATTTTTAATAGGGAAAATGAGGATGAACCCATAGATTTAGGATTTAGGATGATTTACATAGGGATATCCTATTTTCGGTGAAGCCCAACTAAAACATCTAAAATACAAACCTTGGGGGTGATTCAACTTCAACACCTTGGGTGATTAACCCAAGGGGTTTCCAAAGCATGGGGGTCAAAGAATGGAGGTTATTTAACTTCACTGAGAAAACAAGAAGCAAGGTGATTTGACCAAGAAATGGGAGAAATTGGGATTGGAAGAAACACACATGGGCCCACAAGAATCCCTCAACGAGAAATGCGTGACTGCTGCCGCCCAGTGAGAAACCCAAGAGTCAATCCCAATTCCGGTTTTGAAACCTCCACAGATATGGATGATGCGTGTTTATTTTCTCCTTTAACATGGTGATTTCCTATGGTTTTCCCGCTAAACAACATGTCTTTTTTCATGATTGTACCATAAACATGATGGTTTTCCCACGATTTTCCCTTTAAAATAAGAGGTTTTCCTGTTGCCGCCTTGGTTTTTAAACTTGGAGAGGGACCTTGGTCGCTGCTGAAACTGGAAGAAACCAACCCTTTTCCATTGAAAAATGCCATGACTTGGAATAGTTTCCCCATTTTCAGACGAAATTTTCATAGATGATTATTAGGATTAGTCTAGGCACGTCATGATTTTTGGGATTATCATTGATTTATCGGGATTATAGAATAATGTCCGGATTATGGTGATTATCGTTTGCAGATTATTATGGGTTGCCGTTTCAGCCCCTGGGGCCTCTTTTTTGGTGATGTAGAGTGGCATTCCTTCTTTCTCGGAAACCCAACTTTTGATCCACAGCATTTGTTTCTTGAAGATATGACGGACACCTGAAACCATGGAATGCTTGCAAGACTTTGAGCTAACCTTTGGCAATTTATCTAACATAGCTGTGGAAAATGGTTCCCTTGTAGATGAATTTCCTATCCAAACCTCCATTTTGATGGGGCATTTCCCAGTGATATCCAGGAAGACCTGCGAGAGCAACTGCGAAAGATGCCACTTGGGGCCCCCAACCACGAAAATGGCGAGGTTCCGGGAGGGGAGGTAGCCATGGGTTTTCCCAGGTAGGCAGAATTGGGGCAATGCTTTGCCATTGGCCCATCCATTTTGGGGGTATCTAGCCTATCTAGCCAGCAAAAATGCTACACATTTCTCCGGAGATGAAGAGTGATTGAACAATGATAGCTGATTATGCTCAATATACCTGGGTGGTGGTATCATATTTTTCAGTCATATTTAGAGTGATTCTTGTGTTGTTGGGATGGGTTGAAGGTTGTAGTGCCGGTCCATCAGAGGTCCCTACTTTAAGTAGGGTCAATTTAAGTGACCCCCAAGTGATTTGTGCCATTAGGGCCCAAGTGAGCCTTTAAGATCCAAGTAGCCAAAATAGCCAAAATAGCCAAAATCCCATTGAAAAGGCATCAGCCCAAGATCCAAGTAGCCTTCAAGATCCAAGCATCCCCATTTCAGGCAGCCCAAGTAGCCAACTTATGTTTGGCTGATTGGTTCTCTCCGATTTGAGGGGGCCTGTATGTAAAA